TTTTTCTTGCTGTGATAAAGACAGTGACTAATGAATCTCATAGAAGAAAGTGTTCATTTGGGGTAAAGTTTTCAGAGGACTAGGAGTTCTATATGAGAGGGGAGGCCTGGCAGGAGGCAGCCGGAGCAGGACGCTGAGAGCTCACATCTTCAAGCACATACAGGTGGCAGAGAACAACACTGGAAGTGAGGTAAGGCTATGCATCTCCAGATCCAGACTCCAGTGCTGTGCTTCCTCCAGAAAGGCCACATGTCCTAAAGTTCCGTGACTCTCCTAACAGCACGATCAATTGATGAACTATTGAAATACTTGAGCTCATGTGGGACACTTCTCATTCAAACCACAACACACATTAAAGAAACAAAACAAAAAATTCTTACAAACAAAAACAAAACAAAACTGTGCATCTATTTCAACTTATGAGGAAATTCGAACTTATATTTTGTATTTTTTGAGCAATAAACCAAAGATATAGTGACACTGACAACTCTCCCTAGATCTTCAAGGTAAGTAAGACTGAAGTAAAAAAAATAAAATCTGACTTCCGATTGAGACAGCAGGAAATATGCATAGTTACCACTCAGTGGAACTGGACCCCAGACCAGAATCCTCTGTGGGATCTGGTCCAAGGTTAAGAGCTCTTGAATGTTGATGAATTGCTAGAGAGGGAAAATCTGGGAGATGACATCTCATGGGATCAAACACAAGAAACTCCAACTCTTTTGTTTTATTTCCAGTGTTTGATTAGGTCCTACTTTGGAGATAAAAAATTCTCATGTTTCCTGCAATAGAAGAAAGCAACCCTTTGACATGTGACAGATATTATGTACTTAAAAGGAACTGCTTACAAGAAAATTCATTTAGAAATCCTAAATTTTGATGTTTTATCAGAGCCGAGCCAACTCAAGGAAATATAAATCTGTAACCCATGTGAACTTGCTTTCACAGTAAGGAGGGGAATTATTTGGAAAACAGGAAGTTTAGTCATGGTAACCCCAATATAGTAGTATGACATTATCACTGGCCTATGCAACAGTTACCAGACATGTTTTTCTTTAAAAATTTTCAAACATGCTGGAAGACATAAACAGTTTAAAGACTCAGTGCCATAGACCCTACAACACTGATAATGAAATCCAATATAACTTAAAGACTTGGGTTGGTAATTAAGGTGTTAATACAGATGGGCTTCATATATAACTTAAATGAGAATATTAGTTTTATTTTTTTCTTTAACATATTGTGCAATAAAATCCTGAGTCTTCATAGTTCTTCCACTAGGATGTCATATATTACATTCAAAATTTTGTGAAGCTTTTTCATGATATTTTGCCATAAATTTTGAGATATTACTTGATGTCAGTCAGAAAAGATCAGAGAAAAATTCATGCTTCTGTTTGTGATAAAGAGCACTCAATTGTGTATTCAATTTTTTTAAATTAAAAAATATATAACTGGGCTGGATAGATGACTCAGTGGTTAAGAGCACTGGATGCTCTTGCAGAGGACACAGGTTCAGTTCTCAGCATCAACATGGCAGCTAACTCCATTTCCAGGGGAACCTTATGTCCTTTTCTGACTTCATGGGCAGCGTACAACATGTATGCACTTACATACGTGCAGGAAATACACTCATACACATAAAATAAACATAACAAATAAAATATTTTTTAAAAATTAAAGCCAGATTTTCATTCATTTACTTAAGTATAACTTTTTTATTATTGAGAATTTTACACATTTTCATGAATTATTGAATCTATTCCCCATTTTCCCCTCCATTTCTCCTCATGTTGCCTCTAACTTGTCCCCCCACCAACTTCATGTCCTTTTCCTCCTCCTCCTCTTCTTCCTCTGTTGCTGATTTTTAAAATATTTTGTGCATCATTTTAATTTTGTGTGTACAAGGGTACTGTCTGCATATAAGTAAGTGCACCCATGTCATGCAATGCCTGTGGAGGTCAGAAGAGGATGTTGAATCCCCTGGAACTGAAGTTATGAACAGTAATTAACTGCAATGTGGGTGCTGGGAATCAAACCTGGGTACTCTGCAACGGTGGTCAGTGCTCTTAACCTGTGAGCCTTCTCTCCAGAATCTCTTTGTAGTCACAGCTGGTCCTGGAATCTGTATGTAGACCAGAGTGGCCTCCAACTCACAGAGATCCATCTGCCTTTGTCTCCTGAGTGTGGAATTAAAGACATGTGCCACCATGCTCTGCACAAGTAGATATATACTTTTTAAACCTACTATGTTCAGCTGGTATAGCTTATATGTGCATGCGTGTGAGGCCATTCTCTTTAGCATGGAAAATCTAGCAGTATCCACACTTTCAAATAAAGAATGATTCTGCCTCCTACACCAGCTATCAGCTGCCAAGAGATACCCTGATTTTTATCTGTTATTCTAAACACAAGTGTCAGCTTCACTTTGGTATTTAAGCTTACAGGTTGGTGTCTTCTTTCAAATGCTAATTCATCCACTTATTTTATGATTTATCCAATTTCTTTATGTAGTAGTCTTGAGTGTTTTACTGTCTGACCACTCATTTATTTTCATTATTCATTTATTACATATTTCTTTGCACTTTATAATGTCTGCCTTGTTTTCTGAATTTTATAAATGTACTCATCAATGCAAGTGAGACAGGTTGAGATACTAGTCCTGTTAAATATAATAAAATCAAATAATAAATTCATCTCTATGTGAAATAAAAGTTAAAACTAACAAAACTAAAGAGTAAAAGAAAGAACGTTTATATTTATACAAACTGAAGAGAAACCAGTGACTCAGTA